TTCATCATGATGAATTGAGCATAACATCTTCCCGTCATCCTTGGGGTCCCTATTACTGAGAGAGACAGAACTGAAAGCTAGATTCATTCATGTCTGGCTTTTTCCACTCACTTTTTTTTTCTCTGGAGTGGAGTCTATTTAGGAAAACACCTTCGGGGTCAAGGTGATCTCCTATATGAGAAATCAGCAGACTTTTTCGGTAACAAGCCAGATAGTACATAGTTTGGTCTCTGTGGGTCATACGGTGTCTGCCGGCGTCTTCTCAACTCTGTTGTTCTAATGTGAAAGCAGCCAGAGACTATCGGTAAATGAATGGATGTGGTTGTGTTCCAATTAAACTTTATGAACCCTGAAATGAAATTTCATATAGTTTTTACCTGTCAGAAAATATTCTTAACAATTTTTTTCCAGCTATTTAAAAACATAAGAAAACATTCTTAGCTAGCAGGAGGAGGGCTAGACTTGACCCACAGGCCATAGATCATCGACTGTTCGTGTATCATTCCTCATCAATGGTCCTCTGGGATCTGAATCTTTCCTTTTTTAACTCCAGCCAACTGACTGCATCCTAAGGCAGATTATTCTGCTTTCAGAAAGGTGCTGTTTTTAGAAAGCATCAATCATGTATTGAGTCAAAATATGCCTTCTTGTATCATTCATCCAGCAAACATTTTGTAAAGAAATTTAAACATTTCAACTCTATAGGATGGAAGTTTGGGGATATACATAAAGTTAGAGAGAGTAGTGTAATGACCCCCTAGGTACCCATCTCCCAGTACTGACAATTATCAGCATGTGGCCAGTCTTGTCTCATCTCCACCCACCACCCTGCATAGATTCTTTGAAAGGAAATCTCAGATCTCATATTACTCTATCAGTGAATACTTCCATACACATCTCTGAGAGATAAGGACTAAAACATTTTAAGGTGACCTGATTTAAAAATTAACAGTAATTCCTTAAAATCATTAATATTCAGCCAGTGTCTAAATTTCCCTGACTTACATTCTTTGATTGTTAATTTCTTTCAACCCAGATCAAAATAAGATCTGGGCATTGCATTTAGTCAGTAAATCTCTTAAGTCTTCTTTTGAAATAATAGGTTTATTGAAGTGTAATTGGCACACAGTATTTAAAGTGTACAATTTGATAAGCTTTGCCCTGTGTTTATAACCACGAAACCATCAACACGATCAAGATAAGGAACATTTCCATCACCCCCAAAAGTTTCTCTGTAGCCTTTTGTAATTCCTCCTTCCCACCTCTTCCCACCTCACTTCACCTACCCGCTAGCCCCATGCCAGCAGTAATTTGCTTTCTGTCATTTTCGATTAGTTTATATTTTCTAGAATTTTATATAAATGGAATCGTATAGCAGGTACTGATTTTTATCTGACCTTCTTTTATAATCATAGTTAGTTTGCGATTAATCCATGTCATTGGGTGTAGATAGCTTATTCCTTTGTATGGTTGAGTAACATTCTGTTGGATGGATATACCACAATTTATCTGTTCATCTGTTGGTGAATATTTGGATCATTCCCAGTTTTTTTTGGCTACTATAAGTAAGGCTGTTAGAAGAATGAAAAAGAAAAATAAGCCAGAGACTGAAAGAAAATTTTGCAAAGCATAGATCTAACAAAAGACTTATATCCAGAGTATATCAAGATATCAAGAACCCTCAAAACTCAATGAGAAGAAAATGAACAACCTAATTAAAAATGGGTAAAAGATTTAAACAGCTACTTCAACAAAGAAGATATACAGATGGCAAATAAGCACATGAAAATATACTTAGCATCTTTACTTTGGGAAAATGCAAAATAAAACCAGAAATAAGATACCAGTATTAAAATCGCTACAATAGAAAAAGCTGTGTCGGGCACGGTGATTCATGCCTCAAACCCCAGCGCTTTGGGAGGCTGAGGTGGGAGGATTGTTTAAGCCCAGGAATTCGAGATGAACCTGGGCAACACAGTGAGACCTTGTCTCTACAACAAACAAACAAAATTAGCCAAGCATGGTGGTGCATGCCTTTAGTCCCAGTTACTTGGGAGGCTGAGGTGGGAGGATCACTTGAGCTTGGGAGGTCGAGGCTGCAGTGAGCAGAGATTGTGCCACTGCACTCTAGCCTGGGTAACGGAGTGAGACCTTGTCTCAAAGAAAAAAAACAAGACTGACTATGCCAGATGTTGGAAAGATGGGGAACAACGTGATCTCTCATAGTGCTGATGGGGGTGTAAAATGATACAGCTACTTTGGAGAATGGTTTGACAGTTTCTCAAAGAGTTAAATAAACACTGTGGTAGGCAGAATAATGTCTCACCTCCCAAAGAAGTGCATGTGCTAATCCCTGCAACCTGTGAATATATTACATAGAAAAAGGAGCTGGGCACAATGACTCACACCTGTAATCCCAGCACTTGAGGAGGCTGAGGCGGGCAGATTGCTTGAGGTCAGGAGTTCGAGACCAGCCTGGCCAACATGGTGAAACCCCGTCACTACTAGAAATACAAAAATTAGCCGGGCATGGTGGCATGTGACTGTAGTCCCAGCTACTTGGGAGGGTGAGGCAAGGGAATTGCTTGAACCCAGAAGGCGGAGGTTGCAGTGAGCCGAAATGGTGCCACTGCACTCTAGCCTGGGCAACAGAGTGAGACCCTGTCTCAAAAAAAAAAAAAAAAAAAAAAAAGGATATTGCAGTTGTGATTAAGTTAAAGATTTCGAAATGGGAAGATTATGTGGATTATCTGTGTGGTCCAATGTAATTATAAATATTCTTATAAGAGGATAGCAGGAGGGCCAGAGAAAGAAATGTAAAGATGCTACATTGTTGACTTTGAAAAGGAAAAGGGGCCATGAGTCCAGGAATGCAGGTGGCTTCTAGAAGTTGGAAAAGACAAGAGAATGAGTCTTCCCTAGAGCTTTCAAAAGGAATACAGGTCTGCCTATGCTTCCAAAAGTGCTTCCTATGAATTCCAAAGTTCTGACCTTTACAACTGTAGCATAGTAAATTTCTATTGTTTTAAGCGATTAAGTTTCTGGTAATTTGTTACAGCAGCAATAGCAAACTAATACATATTCCTACATATAATCCTGCCATCTCGTTTCTAATTATTTATCCAGGAGAAATGAGGACTTATGTACCTTAGCACATAAATGCTTCTAAGTCTCTTTTAATCTGTAAGAGGTCCCTCTTTCTCATGGATTTCTGCCATTTATAACAAACATCTATTGAGTGCCTACTATATCCCTGAGCCTACTCTTCAGAGAGATACAGTAAATAATACTATTTTTCTTTCTTTCTTGTTTTTTGAGACACGGTCTTCCTCTGTTGCCCAGGTTGGAGTGCAGTGGTGAAATCATGACTCACTGCAGCCTTGACCTCCCAGGCTCAAGTGATCCTCCTACTGAGTAGCTGGGACTACAGTCACGTGCCATCACGCCTGGCTAATTTTTGTATTTTTTGTAGAGATGGGGTCTCACTGTGTTGCCCAGGCTGGTCTTGAATGCCTAGGCTCAAGTGATCTGCCTGCCTCAGTCTCCCAAAGTGCTGGAATCACAGGTGTGAGGCATCACATTTAGCTTATTTATCTTTCTTTATCGCATGTTTGGTAGGTGGTTCACACACTGTGAGGTTCCCTCCCTGGCATCTAGTTTAAACAATCTGTGTTCTTCCACACAGTCTGAGTGTGTGAAAATTCCTCTTGAGGGACTGTGATACCGACAACTGTACTTGGAAACGCGATGTGATTTGCTTAAGGTGGTTCACGATGTTATGTGAACATCTGTTTTTTATCTTCCCAGGATCCTTCATCATCTTTGGACAAAGTCATTCCAGTTTTAATTGGGAGCACCATCTTCCTTCAGTTTCCAGATCATGTGACTTTGTTGTGTCTGTGACTGACCTCGCTCCATGGCAACAGAGCAGTCACATGTCCTTGGCTGGCCAATCACGGAATAATACCATTGCCCTGGCCCCACAGGACTGGTTCAGTGATGGTCACTTGGCTCAAGCTAGATCATTGTAGAAATCTCTGGGCTGTCAATCACTCCTCAACAGGTTACTGGGTGAGCACAACATCAGAGTAAAGAGAATTAGGTGATCCTCAAAGATGTTCACTCATGCTGGAAAAACAAGTTGGCAGCAAATTCTTCTAAAGGGACACATATCTAGTTTTGTGAGAGATGCAGTGTTTCTCATTTGGGGATGGTTTTGGAGACTCTTGGAAAAAGCCTGGCAATATCAATGCTTTTGCTCAGCTGTTTGAGTGGTGCATGGAGACAGATGGCCTCAGTGTATCAGTTGGCCGGGCTACTGGCAAGGAATTGGGATTGGCTTTCAGCTTGTTGCATGTGCCCTGCTTAGCTTTCTAAGCTTGAACCTAATCCCTCCTTACCTATCCACCTGCTACTCACACTCTTCCTCCCTTAAATAGAGCTCATCTCTCTGCTTTACCAAATCCACAATACCCTGCGAATCCCTGATCAGCGTTGTTTTCTTCACTGAGATCTCTCTGGCTTCTTCGGTCTTCTAACCAGATTGCAATTAAAGACAGAAATCATGGCAAATATTTATTTCTTACTGTTTCCTGTTTCTACCCTGGTCTTTCCAAGCACATTTTAGGGACTGTACGTCAGATGTGCCTCTTGTTTATATAGAAAGTCCTGTAGTCATTTGATAAATATCTGCTGTGTGCTGAGATTCGAGATGGACAAGGTCCCTGCCTTCATGAAGTTTGCAATATACTGGGTGGGAAAATATAGTAAACAAGTAAATAAATGCTATGTCATATAAGAATGAAAACAAGAACAAGATCAAATAATGGGCAATGGGAAGAGAGGAAACACTAATAAGGTGGTCTAAGGGAGGCTTCTTTGAAAAGATGGCATTTGAGTAGACACTGGAATGGATTGACTGGTGTTAGCTTGGTGGCTTGTGATAAAAACAATGGACAGTAGAATTTTTAACTTCCTTGTTTTCTGTGCTTTTTTGCCAGATCTCTTCCAAAGTGCCTGAAATGATCCAACAGACCACAATAGACACAGTAAGAGAGCCCCTCAAGGATTCCTACATCCCAATATTCATGCTCCATGGAATCCCTACCCCTTGAGTGTGGGCTGGATTTATTGGCTTACTTCTTGCAAATGAAATATGGCAGAAGGCCGGGTGTGGTGGCTCACGTCTATAATCCCAGCACTTTGGGAGGCCGAGGCGAGTGGATCACCTGAGGTCAGGAGTTCGAAAGCAGCCTGGCCGACATAGCGAAACCCCGTCTCTACTAAAAATATAAAAATTAACTGGGTGTAGTGGTGAGCGCCTGTAATCCCAGCTACTCGGGAGGATGAGGCAGGAGAATCACTTGAACCCAGGAGGCAGATGTTGCAGCGAGTCAAGATCGTGCCATTGCACTCCAACCTGGACAACAAGAGTGAATCTCAATCTTAAAAAAATAAAAATAAAAATAAAAATAAGGCAGAAGGGATGAGCTAATGAGCTGTCACTTCAACGTTTACATCATAAAATGACTGTGGTAATGACCTTCGGTATTCCCTGTCTTACTTTCTCTTAGATCACTCACTCCAGGTGAAGCCGAATTCCATGTGATGAGGCAGGTCTGGGAAGAGACCCATGTGACAGGAACAGAGGCCTGTGGCCTGCCCAGATCCACCCGAGTGACTTTGAAAGTGAATCCTCTTAAGTTGTGTCCTCAAGCGAAATTTCGCCACTGACGCCTGCAACTGCCTAACTGACCTTGAGCCAGAGGCACCCAGCCAAGCTGCTCCCAAGGTTTCGGACCCACAGAAATAGTGAGATCATAAATGTTTGTATTTTACACCATTACATTTTGGGGTAATTTGCTACAAAGCAGCAGTTAACTACTACACAATCAAAATGGAATGATCATCTATGGGTCTGCATGAGTTTGCCTCTCTCTACTGAGTGGGGCAGATGGCCATAGTATCCAGGAAAATACTCTTCCTTGGATAAAATAGACATCTCAAGGCCTTTTCACACTGGGTCATAAATGTACATTTAGTGGATCATTTCCATTACTAAAATGTAAGATCCACAAGAAAACTTGCATACTTGTAATAATTAGTATACTGTGAGCCCGTGCCCAGCATATAGTTAAGCATTGTACGTTCACCGACTTCCTTTATCTTTCTAACAATTCTATGATTAAAGTATTATTATAATCGTCATTTTTGTAGATGTGAAACTGAGGCGGATAAGAATTAAGTTGCCCAAAGTGGTGTTACATGTAAATGGAGGAGGCAGGATTTGAACCCAGGCAGTTTGGCTTCAGAGTTCTTAGTAAATATGTGGGTTGGAGTAAATGAGGGAGTAAAACTGTTGGATGACTTCTGATTATTGCCTTGGGGGATGGGTACCTCTCTGTCCTTCATTTCTTTATTGGTGTTTTTATAACCCCTTGCATGGTATTTGTTGTCGACATCTAAAATATATTCCAAAAGCAACCTGTTCTTTTTTTCACCTCGCTGTTTTCTTTGCTAAGACCTTCACAGGAGGCTGGGGCTTTCTCTCTCTGTTGGGATCTTTTATATTTTAAGACATTCTCTTCGCCAAGCATGTTGACATGTGAGTTGCAAGCTAAGCCTCTGAGAAGCAAAATGTTGAACAATTATCAGTTGAAGACATCATGTCACAAGGAACTTCTCTTTAAACAAATCAAAAAGTCCCATAGCAAACTCCTTTTGTCTGAGGATCTCCAGGGACCCCTCTGACACTGGACCATCCCGCCGAGACATTTCAAACACAGACTCTCACCATTTAGTCCGGTTGCTGGGGCCCCAGACTTCTTTAGAATAGATAATGCGGCTTCATTATGGTTCTATGTGAATGTGCCTGGAAAAGGATCATTGCATTTCCTTTAAAAAGCGGTGGCATTTTTTTTTCCTTCCAGCCGCTTAATTGGGGTTGTAATGTAAAAAGAGAAGCGTAGAACAAAACTTCCAGTGAAAAAATTTGGACTCACTCTCCATAATGTCATCCAGGCTTGCTTTGGCCTTGATGAATTCAGCACTTTAAAGAGTATGTCAACACAATCAATTTTATGCCCTCAATAAAACTTGTGAATGAGCTCAGTGAGAAATTCCAAGGTCTGGGAAGACAATTAACGTTTGAAATATATATTGAGCTGTTTACTGCGACATTTTATGTGGCCACAGAGCTGTACCCGATGTCACAGGGGAAGAATTTCCCTAGGAAATGAAAGGTTTGCTTTTCAAATAACATTGACATGTCAGATTCCTCCCCAAATACAGTGGAATGTAAGAAATGACTACCAGTGAAAATCCAGTGACATTCTCTGACCACATTGATGTGATTCTCCTTGTTTTCCATTTCAACTGGCAGTTGTCTCCAGAGTGTATCTATTGGCAACATCTTAGCACCTTAATTTTATTAGACCATTTGTATCACTGGTCTTTGTAGTTCTGTATGCATGCGGGGTGTCTTATTAATTAATTTGACTTGAGTTCAAGCCACAGCCCTAGCTGTTAGTCAGTGCGTGATGTTATATAAGTTGTATTACCTCTCTGGACTTTATTTCCTGTTGTGAGAATTACAGTCATGCACAGCATGACAACGTTTCGGTCAATGATGGACCACATATACGATGGTGGTCCTATAAGATTATAATGGAGCTGAAAAGGCCAGGCATGGTGGCCAAGCCTATAATCCCAGCAGTTTGGGAGGCTGAGGTGGGTGGATCACTTGAGGTCAGGAGTTTGAGACTAGCCTGGCCAACAATGGTGAAACCCTGTCTCTACTAAATATACAAAGATTAGTCGGGCATAGTGGCGCATGCTTGTTGTCCCAACTACTTGGTAGGATGAGGTGGGACAATTGCTTGAATCTGGGAAGCAGAGGTTGTAGAGTGAGCCAAGATTGCACCAAGCACTGCAGCTTGGGCAACAGAGCTGAGACTCCGTCTCAAAAAGAAGAAGAAAAAAAAATGGGGCTGAAAAGTTCCTATTGCCTAGTGATGTCATACATAGCCATGGTAGTGCAACACATTACTCACGTGTTTGTGGTGATGCTATCGTTAACAAACCTACTTTGCTGCCACTTGTATAAAAGTCTAGCACAGGCAATTATGTGTAGTACAGAGTACTTGATGATGATAGTAAAAGACAATGTTATTGGTTTATGTATTTACCATCCTATACTTTTATGGTTACTTTAGAGTATACTCCTACGTATTAAAAAAGTAATAACTGTAAAACAGCCTCAGGTAGGTGCTGCAGGAGATGTTCCAGAAGCAGGTATTGTTGTCATAGGAGATGGCAGGTCTCCATGTCATGGAGATGAACACATGCCTGTTATTGCCCCTGAAGACCTTCCAGTGGGACAAGATGTGGAGGTGGAAGGCAGTGATTGTGATGATCCTGACCCAGGGTAGGCCCAGGCTAATGTTTTTCATTGTGCCTTAATTTTTAACACAAAAGTTTAAAAAGAGAAAAAAAAAATTTAAAAAATAGAAAGCATATATAGAATAAGGAGATATTTTTATACAACTGTACAATGTGTTTATGTTTTAAGCTAGGTGTTATTACAGAAGTCAAAAAGTGAAAAAATAAGTTTATAAAGTAAAAAAGTTACAGTAAGCTATGATTAATTTGTTATTGAAGAAATAATTTGTTTTCTTTTGAGACAAGGTCTCACTTTGTTGCCCAAGCTGGAGTGCAATGGTGTGATCTCAGCTCACTGCAACCTCTGCATCCCAGGCTCAAACAATCCCCCGCCTCAGCCTTCCAAGCAGCTGGGATTACAGGCATGTACCACCATGACTGGCTAATTGTTGTGTTTTTTGTAGAGACGGGGTTTTGCCATGTTGGCCAGGCTGGTCTCGAACTCTGGGACTCAAGAAATTCACCCGCCTCAGCCTCCCAAAGTGCTCACAGGTATGAGTCACCATGCGCAGCTAGAAGTAACTTTTTAAAAAATAAATGTAGTGTAACCCAAGTGTACAGTGTTTATCAAGTCTACAGTGTACAGTAATGTCCTAGGCCTTCACATTCACTCAGCACTCACTCACTGACTCACCCAGTGCTATAGCCTCCATTCGTGGTAAGCAAATGCTTATCACTCTGTTACAATTGCCTGCCGTATTCACTACGGTAATATGCTGTACAGGTTCGCAGCCTAGGAGTGATGGGCTACACTCTGTAGCTTAGGTGTGTAGTAGGCTATACCTTCCAGGCTCGTGGAAGTATACCCTGTGATGTTTACTCCATTGACAAAACTGCCTAATGATGCATTTTCCAGAATGTATTCTTATAATTAAGCCATGCATGACTATAAATGCAACAACAGGTTATCAAATAGTCTGTTAATTACGATTTAAGAAGTCACTATTGTTTCTTTTCTTTTTTTTTTTTTGAGATGGAGTCTTGCTCTGTCGCCCAGGCTGGAGTGCAGTGGCCGGATGTCAGCTCACTGCAAGCTCCGCCTCCCGGGTTCAGGCCATTCTCCTGCCTCAGCCTCCCGAGTAGCTGGGACTATAGGCGCCCGCCACCTCGCCCGGCTAGTTTTTTGTATTTTTTAGTAGAGACGGGGTTTCACCGCATTAGCCAGGATGGTCTCGATCTCCTGACCTTGTGATCCACCCGTCTCAGCCTCCCAAAAGTGCTGGGATTACAGGCTTGAGCCACCGCGCCCGACCCAGAAGTCACTGTTGTTTCTTTGGGTAGTATTAACAAGCTCTTTTTGAGGAGGGTGCTAATGCACAGATTGTGAGCAGATCAAAAAATGTCAATTAATATGTATTAGTTGGTTATTGCTGCATCAATGCTGTGTGACAAATAACCTCAGAATTGCATTGGTTTACAACAATATTAATTCAATAGTGTATTTGTCATATAAATTTACCTACTTGTTTATTTTTGCTCATAGGTCTGTGGGTTAGTCAAGACAGCTCAGCTTCAGGCTGCAAATCGGGTTTAAGTTTACTCCCTGTGTACTACCTGGGGCGTGCTCTTTCATGGGCAATGACAGTGGTACCAGAATAGCAATCAGAAGTATGACCGTGCATGGTGGCTCATGCCTGTAATCCCAGCATAGCAATCAGAAACGTGGCTGGGCGTGGTGGTTCAAGCCTGTAATCCCAGCACTTTGGGAGGCCGACGAGGGTGGATCACCTGAGGTCAGGAGTTCAAGACTGGCCTGGCCAACATGGTGAAACCCCGTCTCTACTAAAAATATAAAAATGAGCCAGGTAAGGTGGCGCAGGCCTGTAGTTCCAGCTACTTGGGACGCTGAGGCAGGAGAATCACTTGAACCTGGGAGGCGGAGGTTGCAGTGAGCTGAGATTGTGCCACTGCACTCCAGCCTGGGTGACAAGGCAAGACTCTATCTCAAAAAAAGAAAAAAAAAAAAAAGAAGAAGAAGAAACACAGAATGCCTCTTACTTTGTAAACTCTAAGCCCACACTTTGACACCTTTTCCTACATTCTATTGGCCAAAGCCAGTCACATCATCAAAACCAATACTAATGGGGCAGAGATGTTTAGTCTATTTAGGGTAAGAGACAAGGGAGACTTGGGGAAAAATAATGTCACCTACCATGGCAAGTAAGAAGAGGTAAAGAATCGGAGACCACAAAAGGTACCTAAGAAACACAGAGTTTTCTCTCTTTCATATTCATATCTCAAATCATTTGAATTGACCTTATTTTCTACAATCCAAGTAAAGATTGAGTTCTTTCTTTTCCTTCTATTTGACAAAATCATAGGTTTTCATTCCACCAGTGATTCATTTTTCCTTTCACAAAGTCAGGTACTTTTTATTCAAGATCTCCAGAAACTCTTTGCCTGATGGTGAAATGTCTATTGTATTGACTTATCTTTAAATGTCAATGACCAGTTAAGATAATTAAAGAGTTAAGTATTGTTTGCAGAGAAAAGGGAATGCTTATACACTGTTAGGGGGAGTGTAAATTCGTTCAACCCTTGTGGAAAGCAGTGTGGTAATTCCTCAAAGAGCTAAAAGCAGAACTACCATTTGACCCAGAAATGCCACTACTGGATATATACCCAAAGTAATAGAAATGGTTCTATCATAGAGACACATGCACACATACGTTTGTTGCAGCACTAGTCACAATAGCAAAGACATGGACTCAACCTAACTGCACATCAATGGTAGACTAGATAAAGAAAATGTACATATACACCATAAAATATTATGCAGCCATAAAAAAGAATGAGATCATGCTCTTTGCAGGAACATGGATAGAGCTGGAGGCCATTATCCTTAGTAAGTGATGTATGAACAGGAAAACCAAATACCGCATGTTCTCACTTATAAGTGGGAGCTAAATGATGAGAACACATGGACACACAGAGGGGAAGAACAGACACTAGGCCTACTTGAGGGTGAAAGGTCAGGGGAGGGAGAAGATAAGAAAAAAATAGCTATTGTGTATCAGGCATAGTACCTGGGTGACCAAATAATCTGTACAACAATCCCCTGTGACATGAGTTTACCTATATAACAAACCTGCACATGTACCCCTGAATCTAAAAGAAAAGTTAAAAAAAGTTAAGTGTTTACTCATCTATTCAAATCAAGTGATACTATGGTGTGGGAATCAGGAAGAAATCCAAGATTCTAGTCTCAGCTCTGTCACTAAGTGTGGACAAGACAGTGATGTTCTCTGGGGATAATCTACAAGGAAAAAGGCTGAGGAAGCTGCAGGGCAAATCGTTTAATGACGTTAACTATTTTCAGTAATCTCTCAATGCAGAAGTCATCGTCTAAATAAGCATTCCTTTCCAAATGCAGTCTAGCTATTTTGCCTAAAAGTTGGCAGATGTCACTTGCCCCGGGGTAAAGAACATCTTAAGAAAGATATTTTAAATGTGGTGTTTAAA